CTTTTCCAAGCTTAAAGACTGAGTCATCTTTCCAAGAATTATCCCTTAATGAATTATAAAGAAGAAACAATGCTGTCTTGAATAACCAATTACATACGTTCTTTAAGAATAGTTAAGTTTTTAAAAGGCCATTTAAAGAGCCAAAAGGTGTGTGTGTGTGTGTGTGTGTGTGTGTGTGATCTATATGACATAAGGATGTTTGGACTCATTTGAAACAGAATTTTGGCTGCTGGTGGATCTAAAGGGTTATCTGAGAAACAACTAAATAGAGGAGACTTAAAACTCCTAATCATTAAGTAATGATGATCATTAATCATCGTAGAATTGTCTGTTCTGAAAACAAGGGCAGCTACAACCCTGCTGCATCTACATGTCATTATTGCCTGGCATGAACTGATGATGTTACTTAGGTCATCACCATTAAAGGTTGAGCCAGTGAAAGGAGGCTGACAGCTCATTTCAGAATTCAGCCAAGCCGTGAAAGAAGTGGGTCCTTTTATCAGCAAGATCTCTGAAGAAGAATGAGGCGCTCTCCCAACTGAGCAGACCAGGAGTGCAGAGGAGTGTTCACATCTCTGTTTCAACAGCATCAGTTCATACAGCCCATTCCTTTCAGATCTGCTTGTCCCAGATGATGTCTCTCAAACCAAACCACAGCTGGCAGCTGAGAAGACATAAGAAACCACAATATGGTAGGCATTGAGAGGAAACTGTACAGCTGAACACTGTTACTGTAGTATGTTAGGAGCAGCCCCCTAAGACTTCTGCCTCCTGGGTGACATGCATTTTGCAAAAACACGGTCAAGGGATTAGCATTAATCTGTTTCTTTATGATAGTTTTGACAAGATATTGAAATGCTTTGGTAATGTAAGGTTCTACAGTCTACAGTAGAACCTGGGTCATTCAGTGTCTGGGTAGTTCACAACCCATTTAATTCACAGCGAGATGCCGAATTAAAAGCAAGCTACTTGGCTGTTCATGGGTTTTACTTCAAAGGATGTTGCTTCTCTTCTGATCAGCTGTGCTCCAGCTGAGTGAAGTGGTGCCCTTTGGCCTAAAAGCTGCAGTAAACAGATAGAGCCCCTTCAGCAGACCTGCACAGCTGTTTGTTGTGGTTCTGTGTATACCCAGCAGGTTCATAAATGCTCCCCTTTGCAGGGGATTCAGGAACCTAACTCGGCAAAGTGCCTGAGTGCTACTGTAATAGCTCTTCCTGTTAAACATCAGATCGTTTAGATTCTGTATTCCTGGAGAGAAGCAGAAAATAACCTTGCTGAGCAGAGAGAATTAGTGGGGTTTCATTTCAGATAGTCCTTCAACTCCATCACAAGCCAAAATGCTGTTTAAAATCAGTCTAAATAAGCTTAAATCAATTTTTATTAATGTATTTCTTCTTTCAAGTGAAGATATTATGGCAGCCCAAATTCTCAGGCTTTGTTCATGATTTTGTTCTGGATGTCTGTTGCTTAATCTCATGTAATTTTTCTTATACCAGTGCAATGATCATGGGTCATGACTGATTATTTTGATTGCATGCAAATAAGGACTGCCCCAAGGCATGAAAGGAACCCATGTCAGGAAAAAACAGTGAGAGCCATGCCCCTGAATTGGCATTTGGAAAGAAAGAGACTGAGATTTGACTCACCACCTCTTGTTTCTGTCTTGCCTGTCTCTTCGGAAACAGACCACTGCCAACCTTCAACATTTCACGTGGTCTACGACGTGCCATCACTATCAAACGTTTAACTGAAAAAGGGGAGGTAGTGGGGTCTGTAGACCCCTTGCCATGGATGTTTGGACTACCAGCATGACTGCCACTGACAATGGCTTGGCAGTGACTGCTCCAGACCTTTCTGGTTTAGTAATTAGGAAGATGAAATGACTTAGCACACAACACACACAACTGTCTCCTCTAGCATTTAGTGATGCTATGAATGGAACCAAGCCAAGTGGTTGAGTGCTGGGTGTGGGAGGGACATGCATGTAGCAAGACTCTTTACCAGGAAACCTTAAAAATCACCCTTTATGGGGCTTTACTCTGAACAAGTCTATAAAAACTTGTTCCTTCTTATCTGGAAGATCTGCTCCTTTTACACATTAGTCACTGCTCCTAAACTGACTGACTAATATAGAAGTGTTTCTGTTTTGGGGGGCACTTTGCCTTGCAGTGAAATGCAGCTGGGTAACTTCTTCCTAGAGTGAAGTACAGAGTGGGTGTATCCATACACAGATGATTCTTATTTTACTCCAAGTTACTGCTTCTGCACAATGGGAATGAACATCCTTCACAGTACACACTCAGCATGGTAGACTGGTATCCCATGCTCCTTTGTGCTCCTGTATTCTGAGATGCTTGCTGGAAAATATGTAGAATCAACTCAAATTATGGGGTCATTAGCTCAAATGGTAATTATATCATGGTCCCTCCCTCTCCCACCCTCCCATGATGTGTCTCATTTTGGGCCAGCTAGTGCCCTTTTCAAACTGTTACCTACTTATCCAAGGTGAAACAGTGCTGGCCATTGTGCATAAGCATAATCAAGCAGCTTATGCTGATATGTTTTGATGTATTGCTGCTGGACTGGGCTGTTTGCAAGCTAGCTACTGTCCTCTTGAGCAGCATTTGCTGTGGTTTTGGCTGCAGCAGCCGCACCAGGAGGACAATGAGGAGGAGACAGCTACAGGCTGGCTGCTTCTAGAAGACCTTCTCTTGAATCAGCTTCACTTAGTGCAGCACCATGGCTAGGCTTGTGAAATGAACATCACCCAGTGGAGAGGATTGTGCTGTGGGCTTGGAATGGCCGGCAGCTATTTCAGAACCCCGGGGACATAGTATTAGCTTACCAATATATGAGCCCCCCATTTTATTTACCAGCATTTGGCCGTAGTGTGATGGAGGTGTGCTTCACTATCCAAAAGCTACAGAAGTCATGTGTCATGAGGCCTGTTACCCTCAAGAATTTATTGATATCTTTGTGTGGGGTATTGGGGGGATTCCCCAGAAGTGTTGGGGAATGGATGGAATCTGTATTCTTACCATCTGCCTCCCATGAATTCATGAATAAGATGGGGTATGTCTCTGCTGTGCTCCAAGGCATGGTTGCCCATCTTGGCAGGCTTACCAATGTTCACGTGGAATAGTGCAGAAATGTTTGTGATCCTGGGATTGGTAGGAAATTGCACCCCTTTCATTTAAGGACTTGCAGCCATAGCTTCAGGTCTGTTGGTATCAATGGCATTGACCCTCCCTTGGTTGCACACTGTTCATCTTCTCCCACTATGGCAGGCAAAGGTTTTGCAGGACATTTGGACCACTGGAAAGAACTCTCATGCTTACCTAAACAGCTGCAGGAGCACAGTGGTGATGGACAGGGAGATGGCAATCGTTGACAAGAAGGCTAAAGGAAAAGCTGCCATGAATTATAACTACCAGCTGTGTGCTCACTTTGTGTGAAAGCAGAGAAGAGAGCCTCACCCTGGGTAACAGAGAAGGCTTCAGAGACTTTGAGGATGCCAGGAGCAGCCAGTGAGCCATCCCTTTCAAAATGAAAGTTACCAGGGGCATGACACCTGAGTTGTCTAAGGATAGGAGCTAAATTATTTCATGCCAAGTGTAGCCTTTCACAGCTTGCACCTGTGTTACACAGGGCTGTGTTTTATGAGTGTCTTATAATTTTTTTGAGTATGGCAAGCAAGCTTGCACTGCACTAGATTTATCTCACGTGCTTCCTCTATTCTTTGGGGTTGGGGATATTCTTTAAAACATTAACCAAGACATTTATGTAAAAATCACTGCAGTTAAAAAAATAAAACCATGACTTGGTGCCCAGATGTACAGAGGAATGAACCAACTGAGTCTGGAGAACTGTGCAGACATATTATAAATAAAAATCAATGGGAATGCAGAGAGAAGGGATGCAGTCTGAAATTCAGAAATCAGCAGTTCACAGAGCTGTCAGCAACTAGGCATTGCTCCAGCCTTTAGCTTGGCCAGCCATTGAGAATTTCACAGGCTGGAATGACATGGAAGTGGAGTGAGCTAAACTGTACCAAGAGAATTAGTGCAGAATAGCTATTGCAGTTTAAATTCACACCCAAGCTTATTTCATTTAGACAAGCCCTTAGTTGAAGAAGGGCCTATGGAAACGGGTTGTAAGCTAAATTAAAATCAAGCCCTGAATTGAAGAAAGGGCTATAGGAACAGGTTGTAAGCTAAATTAAAATAAAGTACCGATAAACCAAATGTGCACCAGTTGAACTAAACTGATTTAATTAAAACCAATGCAGGTTTGTTTACAGGCAAGGCCTAACTTGCTCTTGCTCTCCCCTCAGTTAAACCATTAAAAATAATGGGACTAGATGGAGAGTGTGCTAGTAGGAGGGTCTTTTGGTACCTGCACTACCTCCTGCTATTGAGTGCACATGAAGTGAAATGAACCTCTCTCTGGCCCTGTGTTTGCAGGACTGATGACTGTAGAGAACATATCAGTGTGAATGGAAAAATGTTCTCTCTGGTCACTGAGATATCAATCTGGGACCCATAAGATTCTCTTTTCACAATGGTATTGTAAAAGAGAACCCATTTCTAAACAATTGCAGGGCTCTTGAAATGGAGGAAGTCATCCATAAGTCGGCATCAGCATCTTCCCTCCTGCTTCCTCTCTCTGAGCTGATTGTGGTCGCGTTGTTGTTCCAAGGGCAGCTGCACATCAGCAGCTTTAGAGAGGGTGAGTCGGTGTTTTGTGGAGCCTGTGTGGCATGAAAAGTGTAAAATGGGGATGTATGAAGAGCTGCTTTCAGCTGCATAATTCCGGTCCAGTTGTTCAGAGAAGGTCTAAGTGAATCTGCAGTGGTGTTGGGGACTGAAAACCACCTGGAAGAAGTAGATAGGTCTGTTAACACAAGTTCATAATCTCCAGCAAACAGCCTGGGCATGAGCCTTTATTAATGAACTAGGTTTTGTAGTCCTGAAACTTACACCAGTAACTTCCTTTTTTAGGAAAGGACATGAAACAGCCAGCAGTGGAGGATCAGCCTGAGCTTGTCTCCAGTAGTGACAAATAAGGTAAGGAGCCATGAGCCTCTGGCCAGAATTGAGCGTGGGAGTGAGGCTTTTGGGGTCATACTCAAGAAGAAGAAGCTGGCCATGGCTAAGAAGCATGATGTGCCTGACTGGGAATTGGGGTGCAAAGGGTTGAGAAGGATGAGGAGCCCATTGAACCCTAGGGAGGATGGGGAAGAGCCACTTTCCCCGGGAAGAGGGAGAGACAGGGAGGAGGGAGCATGAAGCCTACCAGTGGCCTAGCTGGGAGTAGGAACCAGGGGCTGGTTTCCTTCAGAAGAAACGAATAAATGCAGAAATAATCTGTACAGCTGCAGAGCACCTATTTTCCTCAGCCTGCCTCTCAACTCCTATCCGCAGTCCCCCTGCTTTTCTGGTGAGCTGATATGCTTACCTGCTCATCCAGGGCAGTGCATTCCTGCAGCCTTGCTGTCCTGCCCGTGAACCTGGCTGTTTCCCTACCAATTCCCATTGTCACAACCCGCGCTATTCACACTGTCATGAATGACTCCTTGCTGCCCTGCCTGGAGTGAGCTTGGGACTAGTTATTCACCCATTATGCCTGGGAAAGTCAGAGACAGAGCACTGAAGTCTTGGTCCAAAGCCACTGCAGGGCATCAGGATCCAATTTATTACTCTCTTATGCTGGTGTTAATCAGGTATAACTTAAGTGAAGTCAGTAAATTGGCAACACAGAGGAATTCCCTGAAGAAACTGACTGAGATTTGACCCGCTGGCCTGGGTTTGGGATATTAGACTCTCCCCTTTTCCACCTCATCCTTCCCCTATCAATACTGAACTTTCAAGATGGAGTGTTGAAGAAGATGTCTGAAGGTTGTCCTGCTCTTGCAGGCATAATGTTAAAACATGGGAGTTGGGAGCAGAGGCTGATTTTGCACTGTTTGTTTTAGCAGTGTAATTCCTGATGGACAGAATCATGCCCTGTGTTTTGGAGCTATACTGGGGGAAGTAGCAGGTCAAGGAGCATCTTGGTCCCTACTCAGTGCATTCATGTGAAGGAAATAACTCCTTGTGTTCTCTTGAGAGCTGAATTAATGGAGGCCCCTTCAATACCTTCAGGTAAAGGGGTGATGGGATCTAATGCATGATCCACAAAATTGTGCCTCCTGCCATGCTATATGTGCATGGCAGGAGGTGCGATTGTGGGATCATGCAGTAGATCCCATCAGGCCTTATTGCCAGTGCATGGGGAGCCTGATCCTGGGTTCCCCCCTGCACTAGCAAGAAGCAAGGTTCTATGGCTTGGAGCCCCCTCAGCTGTGAAGAGATCACTGAACCCTGATGACTGGGAGATTGTGGCTGCTGCAATTTCCCAGCCCTGGGAGCTTCATGCACCCCTAGAGCTGGGAGATCACAGCTGTGCTCTGCAGCTGCTGGGACATCTTCAGCTGCTGGGGCTGGGTTCCCTTTGTTGCAGGACTCCCAGCCTCAGCTGGGCATGGTGCACCCTTGTGGCTGGAAGCCCTGTCATCTGACCGGGCTGTCAGCTGCAAGGGAGACTGCTACATCCTTCAATGCTCTGTTTCAGCAAACTGAAAGTTGGATACCAACCAACTGTAAAGTTAATACATGTTTTTGAGGTCTAACTTAATAGCTGATGTGACCTTTTCATGGTGTGATAAATTCTTTGCATGTCTAGCTGTTTTCAAGGTAATTGTGCAATTAACCAGTTAATTGTGTGATACCTGTAACATGTAGAAGTGGGTGGAGAGTCACTAATGTGCTGGCTGTGTATTAGGGTGGCCATCATAGCGGACAGTCCAGTTGTCCTCTGTCCTCTTGATATGAAACTGGATGAATTTTCAAGAGAAAAATAGAGGGCATAAAGGCATTGGGTTTTGTATCAATAGAGGACAGAGTAGCAGAAAACTGGAATATCCTCTATGATGGCCACCTTGTTGTGTATGTTTGCAGGGGCCCTGAACAGCTGGCCTAGGGGTGCAGTAAGCTCCTTGGCCT